CCTCTCAGCTGACTTCAGCCGAGGGTAGGGGTTGGGGGTGCTGCAAGAGGCTTCAGCGAGTCTGACGGCTTTAGGAAGGGGGAGGGGCTCACCTCCTCTTGCTGGTTGAGGAGGAACAGAGGAGGAAAGGAGAAAAAGTGCTTGGAAAATGCTGTCACCAAAGCTCCTAAAAGTCTCTAAAAACACCGGGGCTAGATTTGTCGGACAAATCTAGCGACTTTTTTCCCCAAAAAGTTGCTAAAGGGGTCTAAAAAGTCGCTAGATCTAGTGACAAAGTCGCTAAGTTGGCAACACTGCAGACACTGCGCAGTGGACGTCGTTCAAAATGCCGCCTTCAATTTGCTGATTGGCCCAGGTAAAATAAACTACAAGCAGACACTGCACAGAAAATTGATATCGTTCAAAGCCCCTCCTTCTGTTTGCTGATTGGCCCAGGTAAAATAAACTACAAGCAGACACTGCACAGAAAATCGACTTTCTGTTCTCTGATTGGCCTGACTAAAAATCTGCCAGCGAAATCCTTGTCTGTGGGAGAAGTCCCAGACGGAGCAGTGAAGGGAAACTAGAATTGAGCGGAGCTGTGTAGGAAGGCAAGGACCAAGCTAGCTTCTCTCCACTGGCTCCCTGTCAAATTCAGAGTAGAATTTAAAATATTACTCCTAACATACAAAGCTCTCAACAACCAAGCTCCATTAAACATCTTGTTGTTCCATACTTTCCTAACAGAGCACTTCGCTCTCAGACTGCAGGTTTGTTTTGCGGTTCCTTGAGTTTCTAAATGTAGAATGGGAGTTTCCTGTCGGTTCAGCCTACTGTCCCCTTCACTCATAAATCAGTCCTTGTGCAGGGTTAGGGTTCAGGATGAAGTACTCCCAGCAGATGGTTCTCCTGATGAGAAGGCTGAGCTGAGTCAACAGCAAACAGTAACTGTTTACATTTTCAATCTCCCTGTGCTTCTCTTCTTATTTATCTTTGCATTTTCTAAACTGCGACAGAGATTCTTGGTGTTAATATGAACTCATCTTTAATTCCCTTTGTATTTAGTTCAGATTTTCGGGCTGCTCCTCCACATCCAGAGGAGCCAGGTGAGGTGGTTCATCTGGTAAGGATGCCTCCTGGACACCTCGCTAGGGAGGTGCTTCAGGCATGCCTGGGAGGAGACCCAGAGGAAGACCCAGGACATGCTGGAGAGACTATGTCTCTCAGCTGGCCTGGGAACACCTTGGAGTCCTCCCAAAAGARCTGGAAGAGGGGGCTGAGGAAAGAGAGGTCTGGGCTTCCCTGCTCAAGCTGCTGCCTCTATGGCCCAACTTCAAATAATGTGGAAGATAATGAATCCTAACATTTCCTGAAGGGTTATATTACTTTATGTCTTTAAAATAATCTTACACTGCAAAATGACAATGCTATAACTGTTTTACAGCTGTTTTAGTCAAATCTTAAAAACAACATTATAAAACATCTGGTTTGATATTTGAACTCAGAGGATGCGTTGTCAATGACTCTCAGCGACTACCACACCAAATCTTTAGCTCACTTATGTAAATTGACTGAGGTATAGCTATTACTGTGGCAGCCATCTTCAGCTGGACTGCTTCAAAACTTAGTCATGAGGTATTTTGCTGACAGACAAAAGAACACACAGACACAGGAAAAACTCTTTTATTTAAATAATATTTGTCTCCATTTTTGGCACATATAGTGGGTATTTTGCATTCCTTCAGGAAACGTTAGGCCTCTAGTTGAACATTTGTTTTAATCAGGTTTAACACAAACACTTGATCTGCTGCAGAATCCAGCTGAGAACAGGAACAATGTCCTGGGAGAGAAGACAGAGCTACATGTTCTCAGCTCTGCTTTCGGACTTCAGTTTGTTGAGTAATCCACTGTCAAACCATTTAATTTATTTCTTTGCAGACGACTCGTCTTTCCATGACTGGGTTATGGATGTCGTGGAAAATAAATCATAATTGCTGTATCATGGGAGACTGGCTCCAGGCCCAGGTGAGCATGTTTCTGTGTGTTGAAGTTGCTCTGTCATCAGTGTTATTTATCACTTTCACTAACATTTACTGCTTTACAGACATCATTCATCAGTCATGAGGTCAGTGTAAAACATCCAACTCAACTCAAGAAAACAGAAGAACTTAATGAATGAATGAATTAAAACAAAACTTTTATTTTAAAAAGGAACAAGAGGTTGACAAAACTTACACAAGTTATATGCAGTCTCACTCAATGTTTTGAGATCTTGATGAGTTTAATAGCATCAGAGTATATGTTTAAAGAGACACAGCCATTTTAAGCTTGTAATCTGTTTACTGGTGCAGCTTCACAGAAGTTCAGATTTTACTGCACCTGTATTTGTTTGAGTTATTGCTGTTTCTGAGTCAGCTTCCATAGATTGATTTTTGTTTTTTTGCTTTGTAGGATTTGACTCTACACTTCTTATAACAAGTATAAGGTAAGTATTTTAGCAAGGGATCTTTTTAATTTTCGGTAAAATATTCTTCCTGTACAAAAGTGAATGATAAACACAATGAGTGACTTTAGTCAGTGAATTTCAATTCGATCCATCAATAAATTTACCATTTATTTATACATGATCAAACAAAATCACTACAGTACACTTAACTGTGAGCAATCAATTTCCTATAAAAGTTTAGAACCAACAATAACAAGCACACTTCGAGCTTTGTTGATTGTCAATCAAGCACTTAAATAGAACATCAAACATCCAGATGTTGAATACCAGATATTTCAGGCAAATAACTTAGGTTGGCTTTTATCTTTATTAATGTGGGAAACCAGAGACCAAGGCATCTCCTCGCTCAGCTTCACCCAGACAGCAATGCTCATAACAGCCAGTTTTTACTGTTAAAGATGAGGTGGGTCACCTATCCAGGTAATCGGGAAGGTCTCTCCATTAGAAGAAAATCCATCAGGATTGCCCACTCAGCTACTAGACACTCCAGGCATGTTAAACTTCAGCATCTGCCTACATCCGTGGCAAGCCATAGGAAGAAAGGCAGAGCAAAACTGGATCCTGGCTCCAAAAATAAAACTTGCTCTCCACAGGAAGTCAAGACAAAGTTGCTGTATGAGCTCTTA